TTTCCATAGTTTGGAATAGCCCTATTCCATATATTTGTTGAATTGAAGATAGGAGGAAATCTTCAGGCATATCCTATATTGCTAAGGGAAGTTACTCTTTATTTGTGTATTCCACCATAATCACTTCAAATTTACATATCACTGTATGTGGATTTTAGAATCACTGTTATAAATTCACGAGTGTGTGAGAGATTCCATATATACTTCTTTATATTAATATATATATTGCAGTTAATTTTATTTTGTTTAACTTGTAATTTGAGACTGCACTATATAGTTCTGTTTCTGTCATCACAATTGGTAATGAAATTGAGGGATTGCTTAAGTATAGGATATTGTCGTCAGCATAGAGAGATAACTTTAATTCTTTTTTATTTGTTGTAAAACCTTTGATCTTTATATTCTGTCTAATTCTACTCGCTAGTACTTCTAAAGTTAATATATATAGAATGGGCGATAAGGGGCATCCTTGCCTGGTCTTGTTTTTTAATTTGAACCAATTTGAGCATATACTTGGGCCAATTGTTCTGGCCATTGGATCTTTATATAATGTCAAATTTGCAGTTAACAGTCAATCTTTTATTCCAACTGCTTCTAAAGTATATTTCATAAAGTCCCAGCTGACCCCGTCAAAGGCCTTTTTGGCATCTAAAGACAGAATCAGCATGGGACTTGCATTTTGTTGTGATGTGGCAAGTACATCTATCAGTCGTCTTATTTGTCATTCTTTCTGGGACAAATCCTGTTTGATCAAAGTGAACTAAATGACTCAATACTTCTTTCAATCTGTAGACTATGATGGAAGAAAATAGCTTAATATCTACGTTTATTAACGATATTGGGCGATAACTCTTAACGTTGAGGGCATTTAAGGCATTTCTCGGGATGTTAAAGTCTTGGAATAGCCCTATACCATATACTTACTGAATTGAAGATAGGAGGAAATCTTCGGGCATATCCTATATTGCTAAGGGAAGTTATTCTTTATTTGTTCTTTTCACTATAATCACTTTAAGTTGTAATTTTTATATCACTGTATGTGGATCTTAGAATCAAAGGAGCCTGGTTGCTTGCCTGCTCCCTTTAGAATATGGCCTGGCATTTAAAACCTTTTATTTTTCCTGCAGAAAAGCGTATTCGTGCCTCTCTGCCGGGGTGTTCGGTAGATTCAATCTACCGAACAAAGTACCGAACAATCGACCACCTGGGAACTTGAGTGTGCTGTCAATTGACCACCCAACAGCTGCGGTTAACCACAGCTTAATTGACGAACGCTGAGTGGCCTTTGTTCATCTACCGTACACGTGGCAGTGGCCATTTTTACTCCCGAACGGCCAGTGGTATTCAGCGCCCAAACTATGGAACTGAAAACGGACACTTATTTGCGCAAACACCGCTGAGCCGCCAGCCCCCTTACCTCTGCATTCGGTAGTGGAACCGAATCACTGTTCATTCGGTAATTTGACCGTATGAACGGCATCACCCCAGATAGCCATGCCATGGAGCCTATTCATGTAATGAAAGACTATGGGAAAGACTTTGGCTCCATGGCGATTGAACTGTATGTATGTGATCTGAGCGCCATTCGGTAGTAATGTGCGCTCAGATCTAAGCTATCTGGGGATATGTAGAATGTGTGTGTTTTGTGTGATAAAGGTAACCGTGTGTAATTTTATGTCTTTTTACTAAAATGTGTGTAATGGAGTTTTGCCTCTGTCCTTGGCGATAATTGGATTACTTCCCAATTATCTCCAGGCCAGAGAGGAGGGATTGTGATGCATTGTGGGATTGTTGAAATGTGTAAGTCTGTGATTGGTCCTTTTACCCTTTGTGTTCCAGTCTCCCATCTGATCCCCTTGGGGAGTGTCCACCAGGTGGGAGACCTGCATAGAAGCCGGGCAGTTAGCCCCAGTAAACCAGATTCTGCTTGACCCTCAAAGCGAAGTGTCATCTAGTTATTTGGGGAATTGGATTGTATGCCGATTGCCAGGAGTGTAAGCTACATAGTAAGCTGAGTGTAGGCTTTTCCTGTTCGGTTGTTTCCAGTATTCGTGGGTTTCCTGTTCAGGAGTTGGTGAATTTGTGTAGTTTGCAGTTCGGGAGATGGGTGCTTACAGTAGCTGTCGGTGCATCTGGAAAGGGGAATAAGGCCTAAAATGTTTTGTGTGCAAAACGGTCCGTTACATTTAATTTTAACATATTTCTTTTAATTTTTTCACATATATTATTTTGAATCTCTATTTTGATGTTCGCTATTATTAGCTGATTTTCTCTGCTCGGGTTGGCATTATTTTTTTTTGGTTAAATTATGGAGTTGAATATGGAGATCTTTTAGACTCACTCCATTTTTTTTATTCCTTAATTTCTTTAGCATAATACAGTGACCTCTTATTACAGCCTTATATGAACACCATAGTGTGTCCTCCTCTACCTGTCCATTTTTATTTTCTTGAAAATAAAGCATTGTCATTCTGTCTATATGTTCCCTGTATTCCTTATTTTTTTAGAAAGTATTGTCCAACCTCTATGTTATATTATTATTGCCTTTTAAGTTATTTTTGTGTAATTCCAGACACACACTGTTGTGGTCTGACCATATTACTGGTTTAATTTCTATTTTATGTGTTCTATCTATCAACTTCTCCCCCCAAAAAAGTAAGGAATAAAATGTAACTTCTTTTGCAGCGGGATTATTAACTCTCCATATGTCAAATAACCCTTCTTTTTTCAACAAATTATTAAAAGTTTTTGCATTTCCAAAAACTTATTTATCCCAAGAGATCTTCCTTTCAGATAACTTATCAATAAAGGGGTCATGTGTACAATTGAAGTCTCTGACATAAATCTTTAAACCTTCATCTACTTTTTCTACTCAACACTTGTCTCAAGAGACTCAGAGGGTTTTTATTGGGCAAGTAGACATTAACCAAAGTAAACAATTCATCATTAATTGTACAGACAAGTATAATATATCTGCCTTCAGGGTCTTGTTCCATAAATCTTATATTAATTTTTAAAACATTAGAAAAAAAAATTGCTACCCCACCTCTTTTGCCCTCCTCTCTGGAAGCACATATTTTTAATGGATAAAGTCTACTAGTCCATCTGTTTTTGTCTTGTTGACGCCAATGAGTGTCTTGGACAAAAGCAATCTGAACTTCTTTTTTTTAAATTTTTTGAAAGGCACTTCTTTTTTGTGGGATATTTAAACCTTGAACCGTGAGATCCAGGGTGGCCATTCACTTTCCCAGATCGTGATTCACACGATCTGAGCTGCTCTACCCTTCTCCTGCAGGGTTTCAATGCCTGTCAGAAGTTGTGATATCGATGTAATATGTGTATAAGGTACAATAGATGTTTTTCACACAGTGTGTACATGTACTATTGTACTATAGATGGTGTATATGTATGATCACATGATATGTGTATCAGAGTTGATATGATATATATCAGAGTTAGCTCAATGGGCTAAGGCTTCATCAGAAACTGTCCATCTATTATGGGTCACAGGTTCAATCCCCACTGAGGTAGATTAAGTAGGACTGATCTATTTGTGTAGCCAGAGAATTTATTCACTGATTTTATACCTTGTGATTTCTCTTTTATAAAACAAGATTTGTATAATCAGCCTATGTGTAATCACATATTAGATATATATGTTATATCACCAGGATGCCTTTTCCTTACACTAACAATGGTCCCAAGGCATGGAACCCCATCTTACTAGGGGGTGTGCCCCTCACATATATGTATATATAGTCTCTCACTATTCCACTCCAATCTGGACAAACTGGGGTGACTCCCCAGGCAGATTTTCCGCATCCTGAGACTTTCAATAAAGGGGTGTTTTTCCCTTACTACTGGAGTGACCCCCTACTCACAGATGTGCATCCACCAATGGATTACTATGCACTTTATTATTGGGGTGACCCCCCTTACTACAGGGGTGACCCCCCACTCACAGATGTGCATTCACCAATGGATTACTATGCACTTTATTATTGGGGTGACCCCCTTACTACTGGAGTGACCCCCACTCACAGATGCGCATTCACCAATGGATTATTATGCACTTTATTACTGGGGGTACCCCCCTCACTTACAGATGTGCATTAACCAACGGATTATTATGCACTCTATTATTGGGGTGATCCCCCTTATTACTGGGGTGAACCCCCACTCACAGATGTGCACTCGCCATTGGACTACCGCACACCTTATTATTATTGTTATTGGGGTGACCCTAACTCACAGATGTGCATTTGCCAGCGGATTACCATGCCCTTTCTACTGGGGTGACCCCTCATTTGCAGATGTGCATTCCCCAAGGGACTACTATGCACACTATTATTATTATTGGGGAGACCCCATAATGCTAGGATGAGCCCCAGCATATTTATTTATTTATACACGCCAGGTAATGACGAGCAGTTTCTAGGAGTGATCCCCCTTTAAGCTGGGGCGACCCCTCAAGCACTCTAATGTCTCTAAACACCTTAATAGGGGTAACCCCCTTCTTGTTGCTATAAAGGGACCGCATACCAGAACAATACCATACCACATCAACCTCTATGATGCAACTAGGGGGCACATCTATTCCACGCATACTAAGTGGTTCTGACCCTAACTTATTGGGACATAACTAGGGTAAATCCCTAACAGTGTTGAGACTCCTCATGCCTCCCTATCTCACAGGGGATATCACCCCATTTCAACTCGACAATTGTTCCTGATCGCATAGAAGGTGACCCCTTTTCCTGCTGTCTACAATTAGGGCCTCACTTACAGCAGGCTGAGATTGCCTGGTATCCTGGATGGCTCTCAGTTGTACATGGAGGTGCATTATATATAGATATATTCAGCAGACCAAAAGGTCAACAGACTCACATCGTTAGGAACTCGCCCAGCCTCTCACTCAAGACTTTCAGCCTATGTTAATACCACAGTTGCAGCCTCAGTACAGACAGCAATTCCAAAGGTTGGGTCAGGGTCTTGCAGAGATGGTGAACCATGGTGCCCCATCTGCCAATGAATTCATGAGCTACAAGGCCCCTAGGGCCAAGAACCCATATACAAAGGACAAGGGAACATATACCATCACGGACCCTCAAAATAATTCAAGACGAGCCTGGAAACAAACCCCGATTGTTCAAAATGACCTAACTCGCCTTATAAGGAAGATTCCTGAGACTCTAGGGTCAAAGGAGGTCTCCTGCAAATCCGCAGACAGAGAAGGTGACGGTATTTCCCAACAACCGGGGTGTTCCCATGGTTTGAACGCAGCACAGTCGGAAAACACACAGAGATCGACGAAATGGGGACAGAGAAGGTGACGGTATTTCCCAACACCCGGGGTGTTCCCATGGTTTGACCGCAGCACAGTCGGAAAACACACAGAGATCGACGAAATGGGGGCCTTCATACACGATTCATACACTTCTAGTCACAAAGCCTAAGAAAATAAGATGGCGTGTTCGACTCCGGGTCGCACCACGCCCTCACTCACTTCACCCCAACAACATAACACAGCACTACAGAAAACTATAGCAACAAGCTATATGCATACTGAGCGCTACAAACATGGCATAAGTGCCCTTTCCAAGTTGGACACCGAACTCATAGAGTTGGGGAAAAGGAAGGGGGTCCATCTGGCTAATGATATCATGTACAAAGAGAGGTTTCTAACGTTACTGAAGAAACAGGTATATTTGTATATTTCTCCTGTTTCAACGCTCTCATGGTGTAACCACGGACAGCGGTCTACCTTGTTCTCAAGTAGGGAAGCAACCTCTACGGTTGCTAAAATACTCCAGATGGTCGGAGGATAGATCATAGAATTCCTTTATACTCCTGTGCAGAATGACCCAGCAGGGTAAACTAGCTCTGTGAGCTGATGTTTCATCAGGATTCTTGTTCGGCCCTTGGGGGTCAAAGTTCACCTCTTCCATTATCGCCTCCTCTACGGGTACTGGAGGATAACAAATCTCATAGATGAGGAGACTTATACCTATTTCCAAGAAAAGCTGGGCAGTTCGCTCCAGAGGTCACTGGTTAACTCGGTGATAATTTTATGCTCACAGTAGTCGGGAGACTACCAACCTGGCACCATCCTACACCTACCCAATGTATCCTTGGGGTGGTCACTTTAAGATAGATGGTACTTATCTGCTGAGAGATCTCCTCCACAACTAAGGTTGGTTCATTCATTCGGATTGGACGGACACATACCTGTCCATGATAGTCACACCTGGGACCCATCTGTCCCTTTAGGTTCATTGACGGGACCAAACAAGTCAATTCACGTGTCTATCATTAAGGGTCAACCCATGGTACCCCAAGAAACTCTTATAGTCGTCATGGCGCACCTTCGCCAAAAGGGAATCCGTTGCCTCACCTATCTAGACAACAATGCGTTACTTACTACACAAGAACTCCATTACCTGCGGTTCCTGAGCAGAGGGATGTGACTCTTTCCCTCTTTTACAGGCAACCTTCCCAGGGACTACACTACCAGGCTATGCAATATCCCAAAACCTATTAACTGGGGACATGGCGCTCCTAGGACCACTGGATGCTGGTGTCACCAGAAGGGTGAATGAAAAGTCATGATGGCTCCCACATATATCAACATGGAATGGCAGAGCCATCTTTGGATCCATACCATATTTCATAGCGTAATCGACAATCAGCCTCTAGGGCTGGGAAGTTCACTGCACATACTCCTACCAGAGACCCATGGTCTGGGGAAGAGACGACCGGTGTCGGGATCACCTGCAACCTACAGCTAGCAAAGGACAGGTCCGATTGTTGTATTCTCCTACACATAGACAATATCTCAGCTACCTGCTACATAAACCGCCTGGGCAGAGTCTAGTCTCGGACTCTTTTAGTAATATCAGAGGACATTTACCATTTATAAATTCCACGCAAGAGTTCCCTCAGGAGATTACCTAAATCGTGGACTGGGTTTCGTGCCAGCAACTGACAACAGGACACCTTGGTATACTATGATACTAATCAGGGCCGCCATCAGAAATTTTGGGGCCCATGACAAAGCACAAGGTCTAAGCCTTGTGTCCATCCCTCCGTCCCTCCCACGCCCGCCCACGCCCTACCTAGTCCGCTCACAATGATGCAGGACTGAATGTGGTGTGTATAGTGGAAGTGAATTAGAATGTGTGTAATGGATGTAGTGTTTGTGTGTATTAGATACTGTTTGTGCAGTGAATGCAGAGTGTGTGTTTGTGTAGCGGATGCAGTGTGTATAGTGAACGCAGAGTGTATTTGAGTAGTGGATGTAGTGTGTGTACAGTGATTTAGTGTGTGTTTGTGTAGTGAATGTAGTGTTTGCATGTACTAGATGAAATGTGTTTAGTGGATGCTGTGTCTGTAGTGTGTGTATTAGACGCAGTGTCTGTGTATAGTGAATGCAGAGTGTTTCAATTTGTGGTGGATGTAGTGTGTACTGTAAATACAGGATGTTTGTGTAGTGGATGCTGTGTGTACAGTTAATGCAGAGTGTATGTTAGTGTAGTGAATGCAGAGTGTGTGTCAGTATACTGAATCCAGAGTGTGTGCATAGTTTAGTGAAAGCAGAGTGTGTTAGTGTGTAATGAATGCAGAGTGTGTGTTAGTGTGTAGTGAATGCAGAGTGTGCCAGTGTAATGAATGTAGTGTGTGTGTGTTAGTGCAGTGAATGCAGAGTGTGTGTAAATTTGTAGTGAATGCAGTGAGTGTGTTAGTGTGTAGCGGATGCAGAGTGTGTGTTAGTGTAGTGAATGCAGTGTTAATGTGTAGTGAATGCAGAGAGTGTGTTAGTGTGTAGCGGATGCAGAGAGTGTGTTAGTGTAGCGGATGCAGAGTGTGTGTTGTGTTAGTGTATGCAGAGTGTGTTGTGTTAGTGTATGCAGTGTGTGTTGTGTTAGTGTATGCAGTGTGTGTGTTGTGTTAGTGTATGCAGTGTGTGTTGTGTTAGTGTATGCAGTGTGTGTGTGTGTGTAAATGTGTGATCTGGGGGGGAGGGGGAGGAAGGGGCATTTTAACATTCATTTTTTATTAATTTAATTAAATGTTTCTCCCCCCTCCCTGCTTACCTGTGTCCAGGGAGGGGGAGATTCCATCTGTGGTGGTCCGGTGGGGGACCCCCCCGGCTCCCTGTTACCGCAGAGGGGGCCCAGGCAGCACACAGCTTCTCCTCCTCTCTTCTCTCTTCTAATAACTCTTGCGAGACCCGCGGAGCGTTGCCATGGTAACCGGGAGTGCACACTGACACTTTCTTTACAAATCTCATTTTCAAGGTCAATAGGATTCACCTTTCATGTGTTGAGCAGCATTCACCTCCACTTTACATATTGTTATTTTATATATTTTTAAAATTGTGCTTTTTTTGTCTATATTTTATATTTGATTACAAAATTTGCCTTGTCCCAGTGTATTAGCCTCAACTTTTTGCCTTGTGGCTACTGAAGATGTGGGTTCATTTGCATTGGAGGTGGTGGAAATTATTTCCTTCCCTTAAATTCAATAAAGGAAATTTACGTACTGGACTAATAATCTCTACTAATGTTTTTTTCTATAACGTAAGTACTCCCAACAATGCTGGTATGATGGAGCTCCCATACCCTGACTGAGTACCTCCACCCAGCCCGCTTCCTCTGTATCACAGGAGACTATGGAGCACTTCAGACCCAGTTATGAAGCTTGACTGGGGTCGAACTCATCCTCTAGAACAGGCTGCAGCTCTCTTCTTCCAGGTAGGTATTGTCCCCTTTGTTTTTTATGTTCCATTCCCAGACAAGTATCAAAACCTCTGCCTGCACTGTGATCTGCTGTTGCCTTAGTTCTCAGGCTTACCTCTTTTTAACTTGTCCTAGAATCCATAGAGCAAGCAGCCATCTGAAAGGTCCCGAATATATCATTATTGGAATCCCCAAATAAAGCAACCAGGACAAACAGTTCCAAATGGAACTAAAACACAAAGATTTATTCGTACTCAGTACTAGCCTATATGCACATCACATTCAGCTTATTGTGACAACCTCAATATAATACAAATAACCAAGTTATCTGGGGAAACATACAGGAACTCAGAATCACAAAGTAGCATATTTATAAGGGGGTATGGCAGACAATATCTCTACTACCTGCAGGATTAATAATATACAAATCTACCGGAACATGCATATTAAAAAGAATTGCTATTCAGGTACATATATCTGTTTCAGGATCCCTATAAACAACAGATGGGAGAGCACACAAGAGAATGAGCAGAAAAGGAGAGCACACAAAACAGTTAACAATTAGCAATAATACACAGCCTGCACCTATAATGAGCACAAGGTGACTTAAGCATACGAGGCATCTGGTAAATCACAAGAGGTGTCAGAGATATACAATATAGTTTTTTACTATATACCACTGTGTACTCCGCAGATGTGGCCAAAATAGTTAAAAACAAAAAGTTAGCATTTAGGAATTATAAAAAACCCAGAGTGAGGAAGACAAAATGATCTATACGATTAGGCAGAAAGAGGCTAAGCAAGTTATAAGAGCTTCCAAATCACACACAGAAGAGAAAATAGCACAGTCAGTAAAAAAGGGGGATAAAACATTTTTTAGATACATAAATGAGAAAAGAAAAGTAAAACAAAGATTAGTTAGATTAAAAACAAAAGAAGGAAGGTATGTAGAAGAGGATAAAGGTCTAGCTGACTGCCTCAATGAATATTTTTGTTCTGTATTTACAGATGAAAATGAAGGAAAGGGACCTCAGTTGAGAAAAAGGATAAATGAGTCATTTATTACACGTGAGTTTACAGAGGAAGAGGTTCTATTTCAACTGTCAAATGTAAAGACAAATAAGTCAATGGGACCTGATGGAATATACCCAAAGCTATTAAAAGAGCTTAGTGGTGTACTAGCAAAACCATTAACAGATTTATTTAACCAATCATTGTTAACAGGAGTAGTCCCAGAAGATTGGAAGTTAGCGAATGTTGTGCCCATTTACAAGAAAGGTAATAGGGAGGAGTCGGGCAACTATAGGCCAGTAAGCCTTACTTCAGTAGTGGGAAAGTGATGGAAACCATGTTAAAGGATAGGATTGATGAACATCTAAAACACATGGATTTCAAGATCAGAGACAACATGGGTTTACTTCAGGGAGATCATGCCAAACTAATCTTATTGATTTTTTTGATTGGGTAACTAAAATTATAGATCAGGGTGGTGCAGTAGACATTGCTTACCTAGATTTCAGTAAGGCTTTTGACACTGTTGCACATAGAAGGCTTATCAATAAACTGCAATCTTTAAGTTTGGATTCAAATATTGTTGAATGGGTAAGGCAGTGGCTGAGTGACAGGCAACAGAGGGTTGTTGTTAATGGAATATATTCGAAGCTTGGACTTGTCACCAGTGGGGTACCTCAGGGATCTGTACTTGGACCCATTCTCTTTAATATTTTTATTAGTGATATTGCAGAAGGTCTTGATGGTAAGGTATATCTTTTTGCTGATGATACTAAGATATGTAACAGGGTTGATGTTCCAGGAGGGATAAGCCAAATGACAAATGATTTAGGTAAACTAGAAAAATGGTCAGAATTGTGGCAACTGACATTTAATGTGGATAAGTGCAAGATAATGCATCTTGGACGTAAAAACCAAGGGCAGAGTACAGAATATTTGATAGAGTCCTAACCTCAACAATTGAGGAAAGGGATTTAGGGGTGATTATTTCTGATGACTTAAATGTAATAGAGCAGCAGGAAATGCTAGCAGAATGCTTGGTTGTATAGGGAGAGGTATTAGCAGTAGAAAGAGGGAAGTGCTCATGCCATTGTACAGAACACTGGTGAGACCTCACTTGGAGTATTGTACACAGTACTGGAGACCATATCTTCAGAAGGATATTGATACCTTAGAGAGGGTTCAGAGAAGGGCTACTAAACTGGTTCATGGATTGCGGGATAAAACTTACCAGGAAAGGTTAAAGGATCTTAACATGCATAGCTTGGAGGAAAGACGAGACAGGGGGGATATGATAGAAACATTTAAATATATAAAGGGAATCAACACAGTAAAGGAGGAGACTATATTTAAAAGAAGAAAAACTACCACAACAAGAGGACATAGTCTTAAATTAGAGGGACAAAGGTTTAAAAATAATATCAGGAAGTATTACTTTACTGAGAGGGTAGTGGATGCATGGAATAGCCTTCCAGCTGAAGTGGTAGAGGTTAACACAGTAAAGGAGTTTAAGCATGCGTGGGATAGGCATAAGGCTATCCTAACTATAAGATAAGACTAGGGACTAATGAAAGTATTTAGAAAATTGGGCAGACTAGATGGGCCGAATGGTTCTTATCTGCCTTCACATTCTATGTTTCTATGTTTCTATAATTGTATAGTATAGTTTTATAACTCACAACAGCAATTCCAGTCATGTACAATCCTAGCCCAAGGTG